AACAAGCACGGATCTAACGGAAATAACTTAAAAGGACAATGATTTCATATTACACTGAATCTCCTTCTTATAGTTCTCTACATTGTATAGCTCTGTCAACCCAGGTACTTGTCTCTGTTGGTAATTCTGTCATGTGTTTTTTACCAGAGAGATGAGTCAGGCGGAGCAGGTGCCTGAGGACATGCCTGCATACCTCAACGATGAGACAGTAGCTACAGGTAAGTTTAATTGCAAAAGTACTTTAACAGTGACACATTTCTGTTGTTGACCCAAATCTGATTTAGATCATGTTCTTTAAGAAGTTATGGGACAATGTGGAAATACAGACCTTGGATTTCACATAGTGATTGGGTGTTTCTGAAGGAATCTGCCATTGGTCAAATAAATATCTGCAGATTCAATAGGTTACCAAATATAGTAAGTTGCATTGTTGGAGGAGCCTAGTTTGTAAAACTACACTTGTACTTGTGTTTTGATGCATTATGTCTGATTTCACAAGTGTGTAAGTCGCTGTGTGCATGTTCAAAAGAATGCACTATGTAGTAAAGTTCAATTTGAGCTGTGTATACAGTTAACATTAAATGAAATGTAAGGGCTTAACAAAACTGTGAAAAAAGAAAGTGATGTCGATTTTAGAGAATTTCTTAGTTGATCGGCAGGAAAAAAACTAAATATTTTTATAATCAAAGTATTTAAAAAATATATATTTTATGTTAAACCTTAACCTTTTTCTGGTTACACCTTCTGTGTAGGACAAAGACAAATGTAATTGGATACAGTCTATCTTTAAAGTACGTACTGTACTGTCTTGTATAACATATTGTGTGTGTTGTAAACCCAGGGAAGTATAGCTGCTGCTTCAGCTAAAGATATGGGGATCCTAATAAATAAAATGATTAAATAAAATAAGTGATGCTTTTTATTGTTAGAAGACCAAACAATCAAGAGATTCATTTAGAAAAGAATTGTCTGGTTAATTTTTAATCTAAAGAAACACAAGCTGCAGCACTGGTTCAGAGCATTTATGTCCTTCTACTTATTTAGCAGTGACGTATTGAACTAATGTTGCTTTTGTTGTTTTAAAGCAGATGACGACAACAACAAGGGCCATCCACAGACGCAGCCGGGCATGTTCAGCCGGTTGGCAGGCGGCTTGTACGGGGCCACAAAGGGAGCTTTAGGAGCGACAGTGGGCGGTGTGGCCTGGATAGGAGGAAAGGGTCTGGACCTCACCAAGACCACCGTCTGCTCTGTAGCCTCTCTGCCTGGGATGGGAGTTGGGCTTGTTAAAGGAGGGGTGTATGCTGTAGCTGGAGGAGTGACCGCAGTCGGCTCTGCTGTGGTCAGCAAAGTTCCTATAGGAGGAGGCAAAAAGAAGGACAAGTCTGACTGATGGAGAGAGGAGTGAACCTACACAGCTGAGGTGTTATGGCTCGCACTGTGTTGTCGCCTGTGTTAGCATTCATGAGCAGGAAAAGAGCAACAGAAGACTCAAAAGTATAGTGTGCACATTGTAGGTGAGGGATCGTATTCTTTATTTAGTTTTTTCATGTGATTGTTGGTGACAATTCATATAATTATGTGACTAGGACCCACAAAACAAGAACTTACAAAGACTCTCCTGCTCTGTTGTTAAAGGAAACACACTATTATCACCAGTGCCTGAAATGTTCTAATAAAAGGTCCATGTTTCATTTTTGATAATAAGCAACAACACTGTTCTCACTGCAAAATGTTGTATTCAACAAAAAGTTAATCAGCGGAGACCAGAGGAAAAATAAGCTCGGAGGGTAAATGCACCTACATTTCACTTGCAAGACAATCATTGATCGATGATTTAAAATGCCTTTGTTCAGCTTGCACAAATGAACAAATATTTCCGATCAAAGATGTCATTGAAAAGTACAGTTCAGTATAATATCTAAACCATCTGCTGAAGACAGTGGACTGTGGATATTTCACTGGTAAAATGTTCCTCTGAATTCAACTTGCCCTCAGATGGTTATTTTCTCCCCTCAGTGAAAGGCAACTCATACTTTTGATACAGAATCTGATTTATTACGATAAATATTGTGTGAGAATATAACAGTCAGAGTATTTTGATTGCAGTGAACCTTATTTTGTCGTAGTGTTAATTGATTTACTGGGACTATCAATAAATACAATTTTGTATATGACACTTTTTTGACCGCCTGTACATTTTGATAGTTACTTTTGGTACAGATGCTTCATAATGACATATATCTCTCCCACTGTACCAAAGCATTAGTTCTCTATCCGAGCAATAGTGCTCCATAATGCTTATCCTCGCTGTGCTTACTGTTGATGCAATCTGATGGCAAATATTAAATTTCAATTACATTTATAAGATGACAAACCTGTAATAGTACATTTAATTTGTACAAAATAAAAAATAACTTTTTGGTAAATTACCTCTTTCTGTAATATGCCATTCAAAAATGCACAATGCGTCCTAACAATAGGAAAAAGATAGCTGCTGGAGTTGGTGCTTCGATGTGACTAAACTGGTAGCCGGGTCACAAATTCTTATCATTTTGCAGCTAAAAGGAACAGCTAAATGTCATTTGGGCTCGACGGTTTCAGCAAATATGAGAAAAAGGTATTTTTTATTAACATTACCAGCTACAGCTTCATCTATTTTTTGCACAGGAAATGTTAAACTTGTTTTCATAATGTTTTGGCAATAACTCGCTTTAAGATAATTTGAGCGTCAGACCTGAAGGTAATCAAACTATCCAACATCATGTGGTATAGCTTTCAGCAACTGATCTTGATCTTTTAGGGGAATACTTTATCATCTGCTGAGAAGTTCTGTCCCTTTTATAGAAATCCTTTAAATATCTTGATCATGTCCAATACTTGAGGGATAACTGTTCAACCAGAAAAAGTAAAAAGAGTGAATAGGATTACCTTGTCCGACACTGTTAATAACTACAGGGCTATTGATTTCTTTACAAAACCAAACAGCTTGACTGATGCTATAAGAAACCCATTTTCAATCTCCCTAGACTTTCTAAAAATGTGAAACATTAAAAATAATATGTTTTATGAATTGATTCTGCATATTATAAATGTGAGATATTTGGTTGTTTAAATTTGAAAAGTTTTATTTTTAAATGATCCCAAAATTAATATAAAATCAAATTGAAGTGCTGTCAATACCTGGTGATTTTCCTTTTTTTCATTGAGAAAATAGCTGTTTTAAGAGTATTTTAAGGTCATCATCAATAATCAAAATGTGTATTCATAAATCAGGTCTTCACCAGTTCATTCAAAATATGTGTATTGTTTTGGTACATTTGGTATTTGGTAAATACGGACCAAGTCCAACCCTGTTTCCGGTATTGAATTCTACATAAAGAGGACAAGACAAGAGTTGTTGCCTCCTTGGCCACAAGAGTACCTTTAAGTGAACGCTACTGTCGGAGTAAACAAATACTTTGTTCTGTAGTGGTCTTCTTACTACTCACTCGTCTAGCCTAAAAAAGTATAGATTTCCGTTGAACGAAAGGGCAGTGGGAGTCAGGATTATGGATATGTAGTATGAGATTAATTAAAACGTGCAGACTTGATTACATATTTGTGATGCTGCATTTCCTACAATGTGTTTATTTTAAATGCTGAACTACAATTTGTTTTAATGGAGTACAATTGCTAAATGCTATGTCAGAAATACTAACCCTTCAAATACTGTATCACACCTTGAACATAAAAATAAGGATATGACCTCTCACAAGATGCATCTTTATCCCAAAATGTTTAGATGAAATGATTACACAAAATGTCTTGAGTGTAATGGGTATGTCTGCTGGCCAATGACACAGACACAGTACTGAGAGCAGCTCAACATTTCAATTCATTTTGATAATTGATTTGAATAATAATTTAAAAAAAGAAACTGACAAAATGATCTAATTACAGCTTCAAAGGTGAGCAACCAACAGATTAATGTACCCCCCCGCGAGATATTGGACAAAAGAAACTCGGCTAGTAGTGTCAACTAAATCCATAGTAACAAAAGTGCTTTAAACAAGGTCAATTACGAATTTATGTTCTCAATTACGGGATTGAATATTAAATTAGTTTAGATTAGATTTATTGTCCCCAGGGGGAAATTCATTTGCACAGCTCTGTGAAAACAATATGAAATCAACAAAAAATAAGACAGACAACTACAGATAGCACCACACATGATGGTTACTTGTTATTATTTAGGGCTGCAAAGCCTGTATGGATCAGGATTTTGCCAAAGCGAGCCCTTTTACTATAATAATAATAATAATATGTTATTTGGCCTATGTATTATATAAACATATGGCAGTTAGACTCTAGAGACAAACCAGGGGACTTTATTTTAATTTTGTATCTGTGTCTGTCCATTTGGTGTAGTATTTTATCCAATATTTCATTTGGTTTATACATTAGTCACTTTCTTATGAAATGGCTTGGTTTGAACATTCAATCCTGAAAATAATTTTTCTTTAATCCTGATATAGAGTAGATAGTAAGTAAATCTGATAGGAAAACGAGTTCAGGGATAGAGGAGAAAAGGTGATGGTATAATTACAGAGCCTGTCAATTTATAAATTGAGGAAATCAATGTTAGTCTGTTAACCAAAGTGCAGCCATCTAATAATCTGCACTATCTATTATTAAAGATCAGAGGAAAATAACAGAATGAGAGGGGTAAACCCGGAATAAAAGAAGCAAAGAGATTGTAGAGCAGTGAGAAGGAAAAAAGCTTGGTGTGTCAAATAATTATATTGCCAGTATTTTTCATTGTTGTGAAAAAAAAATCGCCCCCTCTGATTTTTTAACAGCCCCCTCAGTCATTTCATCCTGGAGCCGGGCCTGATTAAAGCTAATATTTATTTATACAACTGTGACTACAATCTTTAGAAATCCAATTATCCCTTCGAAACTCTATACTCTTGATTTATCAGTCATTTTCATTTCACACCAATAAAAACTAAACAGTGTTTATGTTTCAAATCTTTTAATAAATGTTTTCAGGCAGATTCGCGAGCTTGAAGCTGTGCTGTTTACTGCTGAGGGGCGCCCATGATCACTGGTCCAACAGAAACCACGACCTTTGACTGAGCCTTGCTCTTGTCCGCAGCCCGAACGTCTCTCCCTACACACAGACATAAAAACAATGTCAGAATACAATACATATTTCACATGAGTTCTGCAGGTTATACATTCATCTCTTACTTTTTCTGAAGCATGATGGTTCACAGGAGCGACCCGCTCCACTAGTGCACACGGCTGTGCTGCAGTGAATGAACACCTGAACAAGAAAAATAGCATTGGCAGAGCAATACAAAAATAAATAGTTGCAGCAGTAAAAACTAGATTTAACAATTACCTGTTCACTCAGGGGTTTCATTGAATTAGGGTTGACAAAGGTAAACATTTTGAAAATGAAACGCCTGAAGTGACTTGGAGACTGTAGACCAGATGACGGCCCGACCGGAACCAGTTCGGACAGGTAGCGATCATCCCTGTATGGACACCTGGAGGAAAGAAAAATGATATCAAGAAGCAACAGTGAAATTAAATACAATAAAGACGCCAGTCATTTGAGCCTGGTGATATAAGCTATCAGCAACATTTTGTTGGCCAAAAAGTAATTGCAGGATGGAAAATCCAAATATATTTTTGAAGTTGTTGAGAAACATATAGTGTGTTGTTGACCAGAGAGCACTGACACATTTATTTCTCAACTCTAAAATGTACAATATTAAGAAATGTCTTTCAATGTTGCCTTCAAAATTCTGTTAGTATCGATCGGACTATGGTATTCATAAGATTATATTCAGTTTTCTCAATGAGTAGACAGACGAACAGCATGGTAAACAAGGTGTAAATTGGTGTTTTAGTTACCCGTCTATCAGAATGTTCCACTGAGGCAGACTGTGAGGGTAGGGGCTTGTAGTTGTCCAACAGCGACCAAGAGTCAGGACGAGGTTGGGATCCGTTTTTTCCAGGAGTTGAACCTCCACATACACAGGGTCCCTCAGTACTTTGGTCACAGGATAGTCTGTGTCCGTGTAAAATGATGTATAGGCCACATCCACTGTGAGAGCAGAGACAGGTTAGTATGACAGCCAGTAACATAAAATGATCTACAAACAGGCTGCACACACTTACCTTCATTACAACCCTTTGTATTGCATTCGCCATTAGCCAACCTCAGGTGTACACTGATGGGTCCCAGGGCAGCGACTGGTACGGGAGGGGCAACAAGATCTAATACTTCTATAACCAAAGTCTCAACAGAAGTACCGATGTACCTGCACTGGAAAAGCAATCTAAAAGAGAAAACTGGCATTACTTTGCTTGGTCAGATCTTTTATTTTGACACTAAAAACGTATTGAAATAAGTACCACCTACTCATAGTAGCTGTCCCTGGTAATGGCTCCACGATCCCCAACTCCCACTTCAAATGAGGAAGACATCCTGTTCTCATAGATTATAACACCAGGTTCTTCCTATTCACAGTAAAAAAAAATAGGATAACAGTGTTTGAAAACTATCTGTATTAGCTGAAAAGTAGAGAAAAGCAGGCTTACCATAACAACAGAGCCACAGGTAGAAACAGGAAAGTTGTAGATGGCAAAGTCTGAATTAGAATCAACATGTGTACAGCCTTGCCCTTGTCCCAACAGTGAGATTGACTCGAGGTTAATGTTGGGCAGAGTGGCATCTTTGGCCACAACCACGATGAACTGGGCATCCTTGGTGCACTGGACAGTCACTGGTGGCACAAAAACAGGTATGGATCAAAGTTGTTTATAAAAACAAAAACAGAAAGATTAAACACTTTTTTTTTGGATCAACCATTTATGTCCAAACATGACAGCCGTTTAGAATGCTCACCTGCCTTTCCATAGTAACACTGTCGTCCATCAAAGCAGCAGTTTATATCTTCACATCCAGCGGCAGAGATATCAGAACTTCCACATGGGATTCTCACGTTTTCTGCAACGACACAACTCTGTGCTGCAGGCTGCTTTACCACACTTGGTTTGTAAGGTGTCTGTGGCACCTGCGTTTTCTGATCATATTGTAAAGAAGCATTTGTTTTATGAAACCTTCGCTGTGGAGTTTGTTGAACCTGCGGCGCATTATCATGCTGAAAACTCCATGGTGGTAGTGGAACTTGTTGTTGTGTATTTTGAGGGATCCATGGTGGTGGTGGTGGATCTTGTCGTTGTGTATTTTGAGGGATCCATGGTGGTGGTGGATCTTGTCGTTGTGTATTTTGAGGGATCCATGGTGGTGGTGGATCTTGTCGTTGTGGATTTTGAGGGATCCATGGTGGTGGTGGATCTTGTCGTTGTGGATTTTGAGGTGGTGAGGCGCCTTTTACCATCCGTGGTGAAGGGTCTTGCGAGTTCTGAGCTTTTTCTTGAGCTTGGGTTCTAACTGAGCATCCTAGCAAGGCTAGTGCCACTAAACAGGTGAAACTCCAGTGCTTCGCCATGATTTCACAGCAATTTCACCTGGATAGATGACCAAGAGTACTAAGCCTTGCTGCCACATTTATATGTGACTAGGTTTGATGTTTGAAAACCACTCCTCTGAGGCAAAATAACCTCCAATCATAGCTTCCTTTCTTTTCAAAAGCCAATCAAAAGCTTTAGGGGTGTATCATGTAATGTTTTTTTTTTATTATTCGAATGGATAATTTGATAATGCTCTTGGAAACGTAACAAGGGGATAAAACACGTGTCCTTTCGAGTGAGGCCAGTTGACAGTTTGACATTTAAGTATTTATTGACAAGTCCAACATTTGAGTCCCACAAACCTTTTTAAAGGTCGTTGTGGCCTCAAGCTTTATTTGTCATTAAATGTTTATTGTGCAAGGGCACAATGGAGAACATATTGATTTTCTTTGGATCTGTAGCAAAGTTTGCCATAATATGCACTTCAACCCAATAGGTATGTGGTTATGAGCATATTTACATATATATTTTTTGTTTGCTAAGCAGAGAGCTGTTAATCCTAATTGTATGATATCTGAACGCCTCCCTGTTTGAGACTGATTTATGGAATGATAATTGTGTCAGTGTGTAATATGAAAAATAGGTTTTAGGCACATACTGTACATTGAAATGTGTAACCAAATGATTATGCTAGCCTAGTTTCAATTTACATTTTCTCTGCTGACCTCTCACACAGTAGCTTATAAAACAAATAATTGGGAAAGCATTTAGTGAATGAAATGATAGAATTATGGAAAGCTATTGACCTTTTTTTCTGGGAATATGTTTTAATAGAGTTTATAAGGAAAATTAAACCCTTTAGCATTACATCTTATCAGATCCATGTCATGAAAGAGAAAATCCATTTAAAAACAATATTGACATTATTTCTACACAGGTTTGAACTTGTAATTTAATCAACTGTGTTCCTACCTGTCACAACATGAACAGATTATACTTTCTTGATTGTGCAACTACAGTTTGCTTATACACAACAACCTTTATTTCATTAAAATGTATTTCATACACATACAGTATGTCTATATCATGGACATTGAACTGTTTATTGCATTATATGTAGCTGAGCAACTTTATTTTACAGCTTAATATTTTATATATAACACGATAATAACTATTGCATGCATTTTTTTTAAATAAATTAACCACCATCTTTCACATTTATTGATAATTGAACACACAAAGGAGTCCTTCATAATGAGTACTTGTACAATTAACAATTAAGCTGCACTTTGCTGATAATGCTCTCTTGTTCAACTAATACAACTGATTATTGTGAAGCAAATCCTATTCTAGTACTGAAAACCAGAGAAGCTGCAGAAAAACCACTCAAGAGCAAGCAATAAACGTGTTTAAAATTAATTCCGGTGGCTTCTCAAATCACAGTTAACACACTCAAGGCGCAAGAGAGCTGTATCATCAATATAAAATAAGGAACATTAATAGTGTGATATAGGCACAGATATAAGATCAATAATACACTTTATTTTAGAGCACCTTTCAAAACATTCAATGTCACCTTACAATAAAATAAAAAATAAAATATGAGTGGCATTACAATACAAAAATGTGTTGAGTAGGAAACCACAGAGGAAAATTACATTCAAAGGAGCAATCAAAGCGAGTGAAGCTAGTTTGAACAAATGATCTTTTAGGCTTGATTGAAAATAACACATTGTCTGACATTATCATATATGTTATATCATTACTGTTATATCATTGCTTACTATTCGTGGTTATCAAGTAGGCTATCAGACACTTAAACAACAGAGAAGGTTTTAAGAAATAGGACTATACTGACAAATTACATCTTATCCTTTCATTGTCTGTTCTGTAGGAAGGAGGAACATAACAGAGTGGGACTACACTTAAAAACGGAAGTTTGTTCCAATACGAAGATTGTGTCACCTCGCAATATTATGCACATTATTTATTCAGCCGTTTGCTGTTTAATCTGATGGGAAATATATCATTCAAAAGAGAGAAAGAAGCATAGAAAACTAGGCGAACGCTCAATACAGGCGATGACGTCACCTTTGCGCGCCCCCGCGAACAGGGCTTCAATCTACGGCAAGCCTTCAACCTGCGGCACAACACCGGCTCTAGACAATTTGCAGCCCTATGCGAGATTTGAGCTGGCGCCCCAGCCAGAGAATCGTACAATAGAAAAGATAAAGATCAATAGAGTATCCAAGGAATACACAATAGAATGGGGGGTGGACGTCACATCCTCTAGGGGGGTCCGGGGGTATGCCCCCCCTGGAAGAATATTTTGAACATTTTAAAGTAAAATGCTTCAATCTGGTGCACTTTGAGCAGAATTACTACTAGATCTAGGGTTAACTGTAAACACCCATATGAAAAAGATCGGTTTACATTTTATTGATCAAATAAGTATGTGAACATAACCAATCACCTACCATAGCCAATAACAAATAAATCTAACTTATTTTATTTTTGTTGTTCTTTCATATCTTATTTGACCTAGTTAACATTCATTTATTCATGCATATTTTTTAATCTCTCCAGTTTAAAACGATATTTTTGGTTTACTGTCCTATAGTATACATTGGAATGATTTCAAACCTGTTTATCCCAATAATTATAAAGGAGTGCCTTGGAAATATTTGTTTACATAAATTGTGATCAAACCGTTTGAGACCCACAGAGATAACTTAGACTTAAGTGAACTATCTAAACACTCAGAGTCCTTTACCTCACTGAGCCTCTCAGTCTGACAGGAGAGGACTCTCCCTCCACATTATTGTAGAAACATCTTCTTCTTATATCCGTTAGAGCAGCTAGCACCAGATTCTAATAACAACAGCACCGGTACCGGTGCGCCCTCTCTCTCTCTCTCGCTCGCTCCCACGCTCACTCGCACTTTGGCTGTGAGCAGCGGGCGCCCGATAAGCCAACATCCCCCATTTTCATCACTTACAGCGCCCAATCGTACAGGGCAAATGAAAAGTGTAACCGGGGTGAAAAGGGTGTTACATTTACTTAATTATGAATATTGTTACATCAAGGCCGAAAATGAGGATGAGCACCAACGGTCAAAAATGTTTTTCTACCAGCGCAGCGCCTCCCCAGATCTAGCGCCCTAGGCGAACATCTATAATGCCAGTGCTACGGGCCGGCCCTGTATATGCACAACGTCACGCTGACCGAGGGACAAAAAAAAGACCCCAAAGCAATTTTGGATGCGTTGGGGGATTATTTCAAGCCAGCAAAAAATTTGATTTATGAGAGATACACATTCGGATGCTGCAAACAAGGACCGGACGAGCCGATTGATAGCTTTATAACAAAGCTGAGGGAATGTCGATGAGCGTCGACACGCCCTACTCAGATTGGTGTGTCCCGCACCGTCGTGTCTTTTCAGCCGTGCCGACACCTTTTCGGCCGAAAACCCACCGATTCAACATGTCGAATCGGTGGGCAGTCGGCCAAAGGCTGTCGGCAAAAGAAATCACTCTGATTGGCTGTTCAGCTAGCGAATCAGTGCATGAGAAGCGAAACGGAAGTGAGGGACCCAAACAAACTATTAAGAAGGCAAATCTGAGATTTCATTTAACTCCAGCTCTCGACACAGGTTCGGGAAAGCCCCATGAGCTTCTCGTTGTAGAGTGAAAATGGAACGCACACGCTATTTGTTGTTTGTTTATATCACGCAGTCTGTTCTTCTTCTCTCGGTTATCACGCAGTCTGTCTTCCGGTTGTTGCCTCTTTTGAATGACGAATACACACTACCGCCGCCTGCTGGTAAGGAGAGTTATTGCCACTCACGCATGCGCAGTTCGTACGTGCTTCTTGGCCGTCGGCTGAAGTCTTTGCGGTGTGCTCCAGTGCGACACATGGCCAAGACGCAGAGACGCGAGGCGACTCAACAGTCGGGGGTCCGTCTGTGTCAGTTCTTTGGTGTCAGCTTGGTGTGTCCGGGCCTTAACGCTGCCAACAGCTGTGGAGATTTGCCGCCTTGCAGAATTGACGGAGTCACGCATGAGGCTTATTGAGAGCCCGCAGGCACAGGAGGACAGTGTTAATGCTATGGTGGACAGGCAAGGCGGACGACGCAAAACACAGTGGAAAACAGCGGAAAGAAACACAGCGGCTGAGAGAGAGCAGCAGTGGACCTGCAAATACTGTGGAAATGGACACAAACAGGGCAGAGAGCAGTGCCCAGCCTATGGTAAGACCTGCCGAGCATGTGGCGTTTCAAATCACTTTGCAAAAGTATGTAGGCCAGCAGCAGAGCAGAGAAAATGAGAAAAGTTAATGTTGTTGACGATGTCGAGCAAACTGAAGGGGACTCAGATACAAGTGAAAACCTATACAATGTCACTGAATATGTGGGGAATGTGAAAGCACCTGGACGCAAATGGTTTGTGCACCTACACCTGAATAAGAAAAGACAGCTATGCCAGCTAGATACAGGGGCCACCTGCAATGTTATGGGCCGCCAGTTTAAAGAGAGACTGTCACCAAAGACAGCCTTACAGCCGACCAGAACAAGGCTAAAGCTATACTCTGACACATACATGCCATCCCTGGGGAGATTTCACACTGAATGTGTGGTCAGGGGGAAAACACACACACTTGTGTTTGAGATAGTGAACACCAAACAAAAGCCCCTGCTAGGTGGTGCTGCATGCACTGATCTGGGCCTTGTGAAATTCACTATTCCAGCTGCCACTGCCAGCGGAGGTGAACAATATTGATGCAAGCCAGTCTATGCCACTCACAAAAGAAATGCTACTGAAAGACTTTCATGATGTTTTCCATGACCCGATCGAGTCAGTCCCAGGTAATGTTCATTTCGATCTGAACCCTGAAGTGACACCAGTCCAGTGCTCACCACGAAATGTCCCTGTAGCGCTAAAAGCCCGGGTTAAGGAAAAGCTGGACAAACATGTGAAAGCAGGCAACCTTACGCCAGTGACAGAGCCAACAGCGTGGATAAGCAACATGGTGACAGTAGCTAAACCGGACAAGATCTGCAGAATCT